TTCCAGACAATGGTTCCTTTTCCTTGTTTACGCCAATAAGGTCTGTTTGGATGTGAATTTACTTGGAGTAGACATCAATATTGTTGGACTTCTGATATTTTCTTTTTGTAATTGCAGTTTTGCTAATAACTTAAATCTATGTGGTCCTGTCACTGGGAGGCCATGTCCTGGATCTCCGCCTTTTTCACCACCGCCTCCTTTCATACCACCACCACCAATTAATAATCAAGGCAGGTTCTTGCTCTGAATCAGAAACCAATTAGTTATGGGTTTCCATTTATCGTTTGATAGACATCACTTCTACCTTGGTTGTTTGAATGAGCTTATGCATCTTGATAGTACTCTGTGGGTATATCATTTACGTTGTATTAACTGTAGTCTTAGCTCATAGGAAGGCTGCTACTTGCTGTGTTTTAGTTTGTGAATCGAATTCTTCTTTAGTGCTAATGCATTGGAACTCAGTTGTAGCTGATGTGATTCATCTACTTGCCCACACTTTCACTTATTGGATACCCAGCTGAGTTTGTTATGATGTACTATGCCCTTATTGATTCTTCATCATTTGGATATTTAGGTGGTGTCAGTGCCACGGGAGCAATTGCTGGTGGAGTGGCTGCTGGTGCTGCTTTACTGTTTGCTGCCCCTGCAATATTATTTGCCTGGTGGCGGCGTAGGAAGCCTCAAGAGTATTTCTTTGATGTCCCTGGTAAGTCCTCAAAGTTTTCAACCTTTTGTTTAGGCTCAAATTAAAAGTTGCCATCACTTACCATAAATATACTTATTGCTTCCATTCTGCAGCTGAGGAGGATCCGGAAGTACATCTGGGGCAGCTCAAAAGATTCTCTTTACGAGAACTGCAGGTTGCTACTGATAGTTTTAGCAACAAAAACATACTTGGTAGAGGAGGATTTGGTAAGGTGTATAAAGGACGCCTTGCTGATGGATCATTGGTTGCTGTAAAACGTTTGAAGGAAGAACGTACTCCTGGTGGTGAGCTGCAATTTCAAACAGAAGTGGAAATGATCAGCATGGCTGTGCATCGAAACTTGCTCCGGTTGCGTGGATTTTGTATGACACCAACAGAACGGCTGCTTGTTTACCCCTACATGGCTAACGGGAGTGTTGCCTCCTGTTTACGAGGTAATGCAATCTGGTGTGCTGTTGCTCTTTCAATAATATGTTCATTTCGATTGGGAATCAGTCAATAACTCAATAACCTTTCCTTTGGGGGGTAGGGTGGGAATGTGGTAGTGAGATATAAATCATATCTCTGACTGGTAGTTTATTTTTGTTTGAGGTTATATCTGACCTTATTACTGACATTAACATTGTTTCTTGTCAGAACGTCCACCAAATGAACCGCCACTGGATTGGCCTACACGCAAACGAATTGCATTAGGATCTGCTAGAGGACTTTCCTATTTGCATGACCATTGTGACCCAAAGATCATTCATCGAGATGTAAAAGCTGCCAATATATTATTGGATGAGGAGTTTGAAGCTGTTGTTGGTGACTTTGGTCTGGCTAAGCTGATGGACTACAAGGACACTCACGTGACTACAGCTGTACGTGGGACCATAGGACATATAGCTCCTGAATACCTGTCTACTGGAAAATCTTCAGAAAAAAACTGATGTTTTTGGTTATGGTATAATGCTTCTTGAGTTAATCACTGGACAGAGGGCTTTCGATCTTGCTCGACTTGCGAATGATGATGATGTCATGTTACTCGATTGGGTATGCCACTTGAAACTTTTGGTAGATTGTTAGTGGAATTTGACTACATAACTTTAGCAACATTTTTTTTTTCTCCAAGTTTTTATGCACTCATTAATCTGGCTGTTTCATCAACTAATGACGCCACAGGTTAAAGGACTTCTCAAAGAAAAGAAATTAGAAATGCTTGTTGATCCTGACCTTCAAAATAATTACATTGAGGCAGAAGTGGAGCAGCTTATTCAAGTTGCACTTCTCTGCACGCAAGGCAACCCTTTGGAACGACCCAAAATGTCAGAGGTAGTAAGGATGCTTGAAGGTGATGGCTTGGCCGAGAGGTGGGATGAATGGCAGAAGGTGGAAGTTCTTCGGCAAGAGGTGGATTTAGCTCCTCACTCTAACTCAGATTGGATCGTCGATTCAACTGACAATCTGCATGCAGTTGAGTTATCTGGTCCTAGATGAATGTCACTCCCAAGTGACAGAATAAAAAAGAAATTAATTTAATTAACTCCTTTTTTTTCATTATTATTATTATTATTATTATTATTATTATTATTATTATTATTTTTGTTTTTCTCATTTTTCATCTTTAGGCGTGTTCTTGTAACTGGGAAGTCGTCCCGAGTGCCTTTTTTTTGGGCTACATATTAATTTGTGTATATGGACATGGACCTGTTTTGGAGGGGCAATTTCTCAGGAAATTGCATATTGTTTATGGGACTATTTTGTGACCATCTGACAAGTGATCAATTAAATGTAGATTCAGCAACTTTTGTTATAAATTTCTTGCAAAGATACAAAACTTCAGGTGGTAACATAATCTTGCCATTCATACAGCTAATACATGTAAACACTTCTGACTCGAGAGAAGACTATCCTAACTTGAATCTTTATATTAAGAGATAAAATGAATGCGGGTATGTGGACATATAAGGGGAAAGTTTTTGGTTTTGATAGTTTGTAGGTTGCAAAAGGGTTCTAACTTCTAAATAGTATGTTGTGCAAGAATTTGAATACCTAAGTTGAATGGTTTTTTTATTTTATTTTACTTTATTTATTTATTTTGACAAAATTACTTGAAGATACTTGAGTTGTCTTTAAGCTCTTCCTAGTGAGATTATACTCTGATAATAATAATAATAATAAATGTGGAGATAAAGTTAATATGTTGAGTCTTTACTGTTTTCAAAATTCTTTGTATTTTGCCTTTGGCACTAGCAACCTAATGGAATAAATTCCTTGCATCATGCCTTTTGCACGGTGTTTTAGGATTTGTTCTTATACGTAGTATTTCAAAAAGTATACTCCGTAATAAGCTGATATAGAGTAATACGAAAATATATATTGAGACTGAATCTATGAAGAATTTTATGTGACCGCTTCTTGCAGATATTATTGTGTTAATCATCAAAAATAGTATGCTAATATCGAAACATGAAAAATGTAGGAACAAAAAAAATGCGCTTATTTTTTCTAGAATTAAACCATGCTAGACCAAATTTTTTTAATTCCATTAGATTATTATTAAATTCTTTTATATGGATTACTAAATATTAAGAAATTGTTACTCAGTATTATTTGCAAATTTTGCTACGGAGTATAAAAAACTCTTACAAGATCTCACTTAAAAACAATTTTTTTTTTTATATTTGTACATTAACGGAAAAAAACAGTCAAAATTATCAAATTAGTATGTTGGGTCATATATGTCCAAACCAAAAAAAAAATATTTAGATCAAATTAATTCGTACCTTAAAAATAGACAATCACCTTATTTCAGACAAAGAAAATAAACTTTGTTATTTCATTTTCATGGGAATAATAAATAGCTTATATAAAACAATTTTGCATTTTTGGTGTGTATGGAAATCTCCTTGTCTATTTGTCTTATCTAGTTCGGAAGAAGATGAGTTTTGGAATTTAACAACTTTACAATAAAAAACCATAAGTATATTATATCATAAATGTAACATGTTAATCTGGAAATGACTTGTTGCAGAAACTCCTAACTTTGACACACATTTATGCACTTGGACTCACGAATGGAATAATTGAATAAATTATCTTCTTAACTCTTACTATAAAGTTTATAATATGGTTATATTTATATATAGTTGATAGGAGTTGGTTGCAAAAAGACAAGGTATAAACCTCCATGCAGTTAAATGTCATCAAACATCCAATTTCTTCCTTTGATATTATCTGTTTACAAATGTATACCTCCTCCGTTTATTATACTTGCAACACAACCTTTAAACACACAATTCTATGCCTATGCAGCAATTAGTAAGAGTAAACAAACGATTTTTTCAATATTATTTTAACACTTGGATTAGAGAAGGGTTAGGTACCATGTGTAAAAATTATTTTGATTAATCTTGACCTCAAAGTGCATGCCACAAGGTGACAAGGTTGTGTTACAAGTATTTAAAAACGGAGGAAATATTGAACTTGATCATGACCCATATTATATTGTTTGGTGTAAATTATTTATGAAAATTGATTATATATTAATGCAATTGTATAGCTATACGTTATTCCGAGACTTTTTCAATGATACCGGATATCCCATCTATCTCAAATAAAAATTCATAACATCAATATATCGTGTCCTTAATATATTTATGTTTTTCATTTATTCACTTTTGATCGACCAAACTTCACAATCCTCTTTTTGTGTTACTTTTAATCAACCAAATTTTAATATGAGTATATTTAATATTCACCTATAAACAAATAAACACCAGTACACCACTATCTTATTTTTATCAACCTTCAATTCATAAAAATTTATGCAAATAAAAATTTAATTCTGGGAAGTAATTACTTTAAACTTATATAAAATTGTGCATAGTTCATATTTTTAAAAAAATAAATACATAGTAGATAGTATTGTAGTGTTTTAACTTTTGTTTCTTGAAAAGTTATTTTTGACATTTCTAAACCAGTAAATTGTTTATGAGTTTAGGTAAAAGGAGGTTTGAGTCAAAGAGTCAACCTGATCTAGGAAAAAGAAAATTAAAATGTTAAATAATATACGCAAAGTTCATTGAGATTTGGTACATCAATTTGTTATACAAGTAATTATTTTATTACTTGGAATGAACTTAAGAGTATGTGGTATATATATAGCTATTGGTTTTACCGTTTACAATTATTATACTCTCTCTGTCCAAAAATAAAATAAGTGCTTCCATATATTTTTGTTTGAAGACTTAATGTAGATAATGAAATATCCTATCTTTTTAAAAAAAATGTAGAAAATGAGGTAGTAGTAAATGTGAAATCCCTTAAAATAAAATTGATGAGAAAGAGTCTTAGTTGACTGCCAACAAATTCATATCAACAGCTGTTCTATTTAGTTTATCAAAATATTAAAAAAAAAAAAAAAGCCTTTCATTGAATCTATTTTATTATTTAAAAAATAAAAGTAGAAGGCAATAACCACAGAAGTGAGGTGGTGTAACATATAAAAATGATTTTACCATAAACATTAAATAACACTGTCTTGATGAATTTCTTTGGTAACTATTATCATAGTAACATTTTGTTACAAGGTCCTTGTGAATTTCTTGATGAATTAATATCAACAATTCTTAGATGTTTAGGCCTTCAACAAGACTCTCCTCCTCCTCCTACAACTACGACTACAACTGATGATGTTGTTGTTGCCTATACTAATGTTACTACGACTATTCCGAGTTGTTCAACAACAACTGTAACCGACAACGGTGGTGAAGAAGAAGGAGGTAGTGAAGAGACAACAATAACTACTAGTGTTGCTTCTAGTGGAGTTGTTGTGATTGTTCCGAGTTCAACGACTGTAATAGACAACGGTGAAAACGGAGAAGCTGAGACGACTTGTCCGACCACGGAAACACCAGATGTAGGTGGTGGTGATGGCGATGTTGGTGGTGGAAGTGCAAGTCAGCCAGGAGAGGGTGATTATTTTCCACCTATAGATACGGTAAGTCCAGCTAATCATGATTTATTTTCTTTCTATGATTTATTTCTTGGTAATTAAATGATTATACTATATGCAACGTAACCCTATTATATTAGGCTACTATACTGGAGGTATTGATGGTTTACTATTTTACATTATACATATGATTCTTCAATTTATTTCTCCCATTATTATTGTTTTATAATTAACCGACCAAGTACCATCATTAATTATTATTGAGAAAATAATTGTACTGTATGTACATCTTTGGGTAACAATGAATTTTAATACGAGTACTTATTAAAGATTTGTATCCTAATAAAATTATACCTAGCTCCCTAGCCCCAAAAATATAAATATAAAGTACTTCGTATATGTTTATTATTTTTTTTATATATTTTGGGGGTTGTTGTTGTTGAAACCACAAGTGAATTGAAATATACTTGTATGTATTTTTTTTTATTTTTTTTACAAGAAATTATACTTGTATGTATTAGCTACGTATACGCCACAAATAAAAGAATAAAACTAAAGTTCAAATGGTTGCAAGTAAAATTTTAACTTCATAATATTTTTCGAATCTTTTTGAATATTTTTTTTTTTTTTTTTTTTTTTTAAATTTAAGAGAGAAGACTGAAAAAAGTTTTAATGTCCTTAATTATATTTTTTATTATTATTATTATTATTATACGTGTATTTCTTAAATGGAAGTTGAACATATTTTTTTTCCCAAATGACTGAATGATCAATTGTAAAGTATTAAAAGTGTATTTCCTCAAAAAAAAAAAAAAAAAGTATTAAAAGTATATTTATTTATTATTACTCCTTAATACAAGTACAGTAATTTTTTTTTGAAGAGGTAAGAAAAAAGTTGAAAAAATGCATTAGGTACCCCTGCTATTATTACTCATATTATTATCATATATGAACGTTTAGGTACATATGCTATGTACAACTAAGGTCAAGAGGTTTATTATAGATTATTAATTTACTATTATCATCATTACCAGATTATACTCGTGGTTATTATGCACCATACAAAATACAAAGTACGTAGGGTAGAAGTAATTGGCCAAGAAAGTGCATAGATTTTGAGCATTGGTGGTTTAGTAAATTTGTTGTTGACAATAAAAAAAATGACTCTAAAATTAATATGTAGATTATTATTTGGGTAATGCTATATGTAGCTCTTATTGCTATGGATAAACAATAAATAGCTTTTCTTATTTGGTATTAATTTAGGAAATGCATGACAAAATCACGTGCAAATTAGTGTTATTAATGTTATTTTTTTATTTGTTTTTTTTTTCCATTTTTAGCTTCTTATATGTAGGTCGAGAGCTATGTATAGCATTTTCCTATTATTATTATTACAAAACAAGCTTTTACACCAGTAGTATCACTTTAATTTTGCATTGCTTGCTTGCTTGAATGCCTTAATTTTGTATTGACTCTTTAAACCATCTCCAATGGTGAAACTCATTAGAGTTTTTTTAGGAGAGAGAGAGTATTTTTTGTCAAGGATATCAATAAGTTGGTATCTAAACTTAGATACTCCAAAAGAAAGTTGAGATTGAGAGTCTCATCATTGGGAAATTATATACTTCGTATTACATGAGTTGTTTAATTGAGAAATAGGTTAGGTATTACCATTGGGTATGAAAAACAACTCATTTTGTATATTAATACTCAAAGTTGAGTCTTACAATTGGAGATTAGATTTATACTTGGCATTATATTATACGAGTTAGTATACATAGTACAAATGTACAATATCCGAATTATACTCTGTATTATAAGTAACATCTTGTCTGAACAAAATGTGAAGGAGGGAGGCTTACTGCCGCAACCAAAGCAAAGTAGAATCAGGGTTCCACCACGGCCTGGAGTTAGTACTGGAAAGGGAGGTCAAACTCACTAAAGTAACTACTACGAGTAGGGGTGTACAAAAAATAGACCGGACCTGAAACCCGACCTGAATCGGACCGGACCTGGACCGGACCTGCTGATTCAGGTCCGGTCCCGGTCCTTGAAAATAAGCGATTCCGGTTTTCCGGTCCGGTTCGGGTAAAACCCGGAAAACCCCGGTCTGGACCTGAAACCCTGAATTAATAATTTTTATATATATATATAAAATAGCAACTCAGCAAAACCCTATAATTAATATCCTATATCAGAGTTTCTGATGGTTGCATCTCAAATTCTCTCCTCTCCTCTCACTTCTCAAACCCTAGATCTAATCTCCTCTCCTTGCCCAACACCGACAACCACCACAAGAAAACCACCGGAGTAGACCAACAACCATTATTGCAACTTCCGGCAATTTGGCGTCAACCACAGCAGCCGTTAGCCCGTTACCACCATTTAGCGTCGCAAGAAAACCACCGCAACAACCTCTCCTTCTCCTTCATCTCGGACCCAAGAAAACCACTGTGATGGGTGGTTTTTATTTTTTAATTTTAGATTTTTATTTTTTGTTCATTCGTTCGTCAATTTCCAGATTTTGATTTCTTATTCATTCATTCGTCAATTTCCAGAATTTTTTTTTTTCGGATTTTAATTTTTCTATTTTTGAATTTGTATTATTCAATTTTTATTATAGATATGTTTTTGTTCAATTTGTATATTAGATCTATTTTTTTTTTGTTAATTTGTGTATTCAATATTCTGATCTTCTTTTTAAAGTCGTGAATTCTCGACTTGTCTGCAAATTCAGACCACTTGTGTGGATCGTGTTTTGCCTGTGGATCGTGTTTTGCCTTTTGTATTCTTAGTTCTCGGAATATGATGAAATTAAGAGTGCATAAGTGAAATATTAGTGGGCTTTTGTGGTTGAATATCAGTATACCACTAAAGGCACTAGTCTTCATTTGTACATAATTGAAATGTAAGTTCTGTGTACAGATTATATTTTTTAGTTTTGAGTTACTCTCGATAATCAATATATATATACAAAACAGGTCCATTCAGGTCTAAACCCGGACCGGACCTGATTTTTCAGGTCTGGCCCGAAACCGGACCTGTTAAATCAGGTCCGGTCCCCGGTCCTTAAAATTACCTAATTCAGGTCCCCGGTCCAAACAGGTCCGGTCCAGGTCCGGTCCGGTTTTGGACCGGTGTACACCCCTAACTACGAGTACGAGTACGAGTACGTACAAGTTTTACTTCGTGCCACAAACTTCATATGTGTGTCTTTCCCAACTCAATAATCTAGCGACACTCTTGGGAGAACAGTCCCCTAACCTCTCTTGTAGGCGTGTAACGTTCAAGGTGAACAAAAAATACCCTAATCTCGTAATAACTTGGCTTCAGGCCCTCATCAGTTATTAATAAAGACAAAATGATGCAGCTCATCGTATTTTTATTTCAGTTGTGCGTGTGAATAGTGGCTTGTGAATTGTGTAAAAGGTGATGATATATTTATATGCAGAATTTATATTCAAGGACAACCCCCCCACTCAAAAATATTTTAATTTGTTATGTGTGAGATTTATCTAACATTGTATGTTAGGAGGAAATTTAAATTTTTAGTTTGTTTAATTTAATGCATGTATGAGTACTCTTATGTGTACGTATATGTGATGAACAAATATGTGTATGTATATGTGATGAACAAATATGTGTATGTATATGTTGTTCCGTGTGAGATTATAATCTTGTGAAATCGGATGATGTGATGAACAAATATGTATGTATATGTACTGTTATGCAAAACTCTAAGGGTTTGTCACTACTAGAAATAGGCCGAATTCCGACGGACATGTTTTTCCGTCGGAAAATTCAAACTTTCCGACGTTTTTATACTCTGTCGGAAATTTCCGACGAATTCAATAATTCCGTAGGAAATTTCCGACGGAATATAAATCCGTCGGAATATATGTATTTTCCGACAGATTTTTCCGTTGTAAATTACTATATTCCGTCGGAAAATATTTTTTTTAAAAAAATTATACCCCGTTTAAACAAACCCTAAACCGGTACCCCATCTCTTCTCTTTCTCTCTCCTCTTCTCCTCTCTCTTCCACCTCTTTCTTCTTCTTCTCTGATTCTCTCTCCTCTACTCCTCTTCTCTGATACTCTCTTCTCTCTCCTGTTCTCTTACCTCTTCTCCTTCCTCTGTTCTCTCATCCTCTTCTCCTTCTCTCTTCCGCCTCTTTCTTCTTCTTCTTCTCCGATTCTCTCTCCTCTACTCCTCTTTAGTATGAGATTTCATACCAATTCATTCCAATTTGATGAACCAAACACCCCCTAAATATTGCATATTGTTAGATTTTGGGAAAACTCCTCAATCTGGAGTGTGTACCATTGATCAATATATATAGAGTTTTACAAATATCGTAAATCTAGTACAATAAGGATACAAAATATATACAATTATTATCCTAATCTGTGACAAATATTATCATAACTATAATATCTATCACACCCTCGCAGTCATAGCGGGAGGAGGTCGTACGCTAAGACTGGATCTAAAATCCAAAAATAAGTCCCGTGGTAAGCCTTTCGTGAAAATGTCCGCAAATTGATATCTGGAAGGAACATGTAGAACCCGAACTTCTCCCAAAGCAACCTTTTCTCGAACAAAATGAATATCCATCTCCACATGTTTGGTGCGTTGGTGTTGTACCGGGTTGCCAGAAAGATGGATAGCACTGACAATATCACAATAAACATTAGTAGCCTGTCGCAGGGGGGAATGTAACTCAAGTAAAAGATTACGGAGCCAACATGCCTCAGAGACAACATTAGCGACGCCTCGATATTCTGCTTCTGACTCTACTTAGATAATGTATGCTGACGCTTAGATGACCAAGAAACGAGGTTGTCCCCAAGAAAGCAGCAATAACCCGATGTGGAACGACGGGTATCGGGACAACCTCCCCGGTCAGCGTCAGTGTAAGTAATCAAACGATGAGAAGCAGATGGATATAAATGTAAGCCATGATCAATGGTACCTTGAACATAACGCATAATGCGTTTCAATGCATCATAATGAGATTCCCGGGGATCATGCATAAAAAGACACACCTGTTGTACCGCATAGGCAATATCTGGCCTAGTGAAGGTGAGATACTGAAGAGTACCTGCTAAACTGCGATACAAAGTAAGATCTCGGAATGGTGGTCCTGCATCTGCACTAAGTTTGGACTTAGTGTCAACTGGAGTAGCTGCAGGCTTACAAGAGTCCATACCTGCATGCGCTCTATAATCTCTTGTGCATACTTTTCCTGCGAAAGTAGCAAATAAGAGGGTGTACGGGTCACCGCAATCCCTAAAAAGAAACTCAGAGGCCCCAAATTAGTCATAGGGAATTCGGTTTTCAACCGAGATATGATCCCTGCACGCAACCTGTCAGATGAGGTAGCTAATATAATATCATCAACATAGAGAAGCAAATATGCCATATCATGACCCTGCCGGAAAGTAAAAAAGAGAATTGTCACTCTTGGTAATGACATAACCCAATTTAATCAGAAAGTTCGCAAACCGATGGTACCAAGCTCTAGGAGCTTGTTTCAAGCCATAGAAAGTCTTTCAGAGCCGGCAAACATAAGAGGGTGCACGCTGATCAACAAACCTTGGGGGTTGATGCATATACAAGGTTTCCTGTAAATCACCATGTAAAAAGACATTTTTGACATCTAATTGATGAATTGACCACTTTTTAGCCATAACTAAGCTGAGAACTGTACGGATAGTGGCCGGTTTAACTACCGGACTGAAGGTCTCATCACAATCCACACTAACTTCTTGCGATCTGCCATCACAAACAAGACGAGCTTTGTGCCTTTCAAGGTCACCATTAGATTTGAATTTATGTTTGAAAAGCCACATACAATTAACAATATTCACCCCCGTAGGCCTAGGCACCAATTCCCAAGTCCCTGTTTTAATTAAAGCACTATACTCATCAAGCATTGCCGCATTCCAATTAAGGTCAGTTAAAGCTTGTTTATAAGACTTTGGAAGAGGTGATTTGTGAGGAGGTGGACCCGAAGGTTGAACAGTGAGGTTGAAATATTTTGGGTTAGGCTTAACTATACCCCGTTGACTACGGGTGATGGGAGGGGACGGAGGGGGAGGCCGAGTAGGCTGCAAAGGTGGTATGCCCCTTAAAGGAGGTGGATTATATGTGGGATTAAGGTGTGGCAGGCCTGTTGGGTGAGTTGGGCTGGTTTGAGGCGTGACAGGTGGGCTGCCATGTGAAGATGGCAGGGTTGTTGGGCTCGCAGGGGAGATGTGTGAGGTGTGTGGGCTGCTAGAAGGAGAGATGTTGGTGGTAGGCAGTGGGCTTTGCGGGTGGTCTCTGGGAGAGAGCCCTGGGTCGCGGCCTGCTTGCGGTACGGACTGGGTTGGGGCTCCTTGGCGCAAAAATAAGTGTGTAAGGATGGGGGATTGGTCATCAATGCCCAAAAAATTGTAGTCCTTTAGAGGATGTTTTTCAATGTTCCGATATGGAAAAGTGAGTTCATCAAAGGTTACATGAAGGGAAATAATGACCTTTTTAGTAGTGAGATCTAAACACTTATACCCACGATGATTGGAAGGGTAACCCAATACAAGGTGTAAAGCATGGAGCAAGTTTGTGAGGCACAGTAGCCGACAAATTTGGGAAACATAGACAACCAAAAACCCGAAGGTGATCAAAGGATGGGTTTTTACGAAAAAGAGCTTGAGTAGGGGTTGAGTTCTTAAGAGTCTTAGTGGGTAAGATGTTAATAAGATATGTGGCGGTCTCAAGAGCATGCGACCAAAAGGACGGAGGCAAAGAGGCGTGGAAGAGAAGAGTGCGTTAGACATTGTTGATAGTGCGGATCATGCGCTTGGATTTCCCGTTCTGGGAAAAGGTGTGAGGACATGAGAATCTAAACACCAAGCCATTAGCATTAAAATTTTTTTTAAACTAATCATTGTCAAACTCACGACCATGATCACTTTGGAAGGATTTAATAGGCGGTTCAAATTGAGTTTGGACATATTGCTTAAAAATAAGAAAGCTTTAGAAGGCTTGGGATTTTGAGGCTAAAGGAATAGTCCACACATAATGGGTAAAATCATCAAGTAAAACCAAATAATATTTGTGCCCATTAATACTACGAATAGGAGAGGTCCACAAATCAGCATGAATTATATCAAAAGCACAATAAGAGTTATTATTAGAATCATAAAAAGGAAGTCTAACATGTTTCCCTATTTGACAAGAATTGCAAAAATTGGAGTCATGCTCCTTATTAAAATCAATTAAACTATTGCTCCTAAGAAACTGTAAAGAGGAAGCCCCAAGGTGTCCTAAGCGGTCATGCCAAGTAGAAGAAGCGACTGTGGTGAGAGATGTGTCCAGACAAGTGCTTGGTGAGTTTTCGATGACTGGATAAAGGTCTCCGGAACTATTACATCTTGTTATTACCCTCCCCATGCGAAGATCCTTCACAGAAAAACCATTAGGGTCAAATTCAATAGAAACCGAATTATCAGAGGTAAAATTACGAACTGATATGAGATTTTTAATGGTTTGTGGGGCAAGGAGGACATCTTTTAAAACTAGGGATTTATGAGGGAGGGTGGTGTGACCATAACTGGTAATTGGAATACGATGATCATTTTTGACTAAAATATGATTATTCGTGCTTAAATTTAAAAGGGGCAAGAGATTACCAGAATTATGAGTCATATGAGATGTAGCTCTAGAGTCCATGTACCACCCGTTTTCCGGATTTGAAAGGGACAATGATGAGTAGGCACTCCCGGGCTCCGTAGGAGTCATAGGTGTACCGTATTGAGGTTAGCCGATGGTATAAGCCTGTTGAGGATATGAGCCACCACCTGGGCCTGCAGGGGGCCGGTTGTGATAAGGCCCGTTTGTTGGAAAGGGGGCAGGAGGTACGGCCCAGCCTTGTTGAGGCCAATAGTACTGCTGCGAACTGGGCCAAGGTTGCTGCTGGGCCCAATTTTGGCCGTTAGGAGTCACCTGCTGCTGTTGCCATTATTGTTGTTGCGTATTTTGTTGCTGGCCTTGAGGGCTGCCACGGGCAGGAGTACCACGTCCGCGACCCTTGCCTCGCCCCTTTCCGCCACCGCGGCCTTGTCCGCCGCCACCAACGCCTCTGCCGGCACCTGCGGCAGGTTGCTGCTGTTGCGTGGAGTCGGAGTTGAGCGATGATTGTTGTTGTGATACAAACGAAGCCGGAGATGGAACAGAGTCCGTATTCCGGCGAGTATCTTCAAGTAGGAACCGAGATCGAGCATTGTTAAAAGACGGAAGGGGGTCCGATTGAGCAATCATAGTTGCGACCGTGTCAAAATCGATCTTAGTGAGGCCTGCAACAAGACGGAGTACCAATTTTTGATCTGAAACTGGCTGATCAACATTGGCGAGTTGATCAGAGATGCTTTTTAGGCGCTGGCAATAAGCTGTGACGTTTGGGAAATTATCAAGATGAAGAAATTAAATTGATTCTCGAGATACACTGCCCTTGTATTCTTGTTATCTTGAAAGATATCTTTGAGACGATTCCAAGTCTCTTGAGTAGTAGATTTCCGTAAAAGGATGGTTTGAAGAAGATCAACCGAGATTGTACCATAGATCCATTGTTTCACAATTGCATCTAGTCTCTTCCATAAAGCATCGAAAACGTCAGTTGGACGAGGGGTATCCGGGTCGATGTGATCAAGAACATTATACGCACAAACATGATTCTCGAATAATTCGACCCAATTTGAGTATTGCATATTCTCATAATCTAAAGTCAAGGGAATTACGTTTTTGATATTTGTAACCGTGAGGGCCGGATGGAACTCATTGGACGGTAGAGGAGTGGGCGGTGAAGGGTAGCATCTATCATCTTCTTTGGCCATGGAAGCTAAATTGCATGAACAAAAAGGAAAGCGGAAGCAGAGAAAAAAATGAAAAGAATTAATTGAATAATCCTAGTATCGAAACCTGTAGCTGTGATACCATGTTAGATTTCGGAAAAACTTCTCAATTTGAAGTGTGTACCATTGATCAATATATATAGAGTTGTACAAATATCGTAAACCTAGTACGATAAGGATACAAAATATATACAATTATTATCTTTATCTGCGACAAATATTATCATAACTATAATATCTATCACATAAAAGCATTAATAATTGTTATTTGTATTATTACTCGTTATTGATTAAAAATTATTTTTTTGTCAAAGTAATCTCAATGCCTCAAAACTTCTTATCAACGTAATTACAATATACTAAATATTTCTTAAACTCTATCTTAATTAACATTTCTACTACATACAAATTTTTTTATTAACTAAAAACTTAATCTTACTAATTATTTCTATTTAATTCCACTTCCTTTGTTATCAAAAAATTATATATCGTGTTTAGTATCTGAGCCGGCGGGTTTGTAAATAATCTATATTATTAATAAAACTCCAAGGTAAGGAGTGTCATATCCACATGTACTAGCGAAAGCCGATGAATTGGTGAGCTCACTATATCATCATTGGTGAGTTCACTCACTGATCCAAATATTGGTGATGCAGAGAAGGATTTGTTGAAAAAGTTTTTTGAGAATTGAGTGAGCGAAAGTTAGGAGCGAAGGTGGAAGGAGCAATAACTAATGCATATATGATCAGCTGTGACAGATGTGAAAACAGCGTGTTTGAACATTGTGAATTAGTAAGTCAGACTAAAATGGTAAAAATGAAAAGAAAGACAGTAAGTAACTCCTTTTAATCTTCCTAGCTAACTCTTCATTCCTTTTCTCAATACAAATTGGTTTCTTTTTTAAATTTTTTTTTTTTTATTATATTACATATATGTTTATTGATTTGATGTTTAATTTGAGTGGATGATATGGGATGGTAAATGTTATGTTTCAAGTTGGGTTTTCAAATTGTAAAGGTAATTAAATTTTAGGTTGGGTTTAATTTTCGAAGCTGTGTGAGTTGAAATAGAATTTGGTTGATGTTGTCTTTCTTCTTTATATCCGGTCTTGAAATTGAGGATATAGAGTAGAAGAAGAAGAAAGAAGAAGATGGGGGAGGAGAAGTACATTGCTTAGATCCCCCATTATTACGAAAAAGAGAGTGAATTCAACTAATGAGATTGAATTGAAGAGGATAAAAAGTTAAACAATTAAGTGTTAGCTTTTCCATCCAATTTAATGGTGTTTTGCAAGTTTAAGGTTACTTCAAGAAGTAGTGAAAAAGTTAAGAGTTACATAAGAAAAAGTTTTTTTTTTTTTTTTTTTTTTTTTTTTTTTTTTTTTTTTTTTTTAAGGGAATTGTTATTTTTTGAGGAAAAGAAAAAAAGAAAAAGAAAAAGAAAAGGGAGTAATATACTCCGTATTATATATCAACATATGCTTTTTATATGTTGGTAAAAATTGTAGTTAAAGTAAATATATAAATAGTACAAAATTTAAACTTTCCGATTATCATGAAACAGATGGAGTATAAAACAATCGATATTATGAAAGCCTTTGTGAATTGACGGTTTTTGGTCTCATTGTTAATGATATTTTAGCTATATCTTCATCTTGCTCCACTGTTTCTTTCTCTCATTAATAAAGGAGTGGTAATATTGTTGCTCATAAACTTGCAAATTTGAGCAAATATTTGATGTAATGAGAGCTTGGCTAGAAGAAGCACCGACTAAGTGGCTCAATTTTGTAATGCCAAATACTCCCTCTGTATTTTATTACTTGTTTCATTTCTCCGGATACAAAGTTTTAAGAAGAAATATTATTTTATGATGGAAGTAGGGTTGATTGAAAAATAAAAAAATTTGAAAAAGCAAAAGTGAGTATAAGTAGGAATGAAAGAGAATATGAAAAATATTACAATATGATATGAAGGGGATCACTAGTGGAGAAAAAATAGTAAAATATTGTTAAGATTTTCCATAAAAGAAATAGAGCAAGTAATAAAATACGGCCGTAAAAGAAAAGTGGAGCAAGTAAGTGCAACTTCAATGGTCAAATTAGTATGTCATGCCACATAACCTTTTAAACTAATTGTCATTTTATCTGCTTTGAGCACCATGACAAGATATTAGCTAATATTCAAATGAACTCCACTTCCTTAAATACTTTTTTATATTTAATTTTATTTATTCTATTTTTTTTTTGGCAAGTTTATTTCCAAGTAAATTGTTGCCTTTTTTTTAAAGGGAAGAAATTATTATCATTAATGAGTAGTCATACGACATCTACAATAATAGCATTGGTATGTAAATTAAACCATAAATTTAGAGAAAATAACTTAACTTTTACAATAAAAAACATAACTATTTTGCATATTTGACATAGCTCACATTCCACCGCTTCAAACTTGACGCGAGAATTGATTTTCGATGTATTCACATATTCTCAAGTGTAGACCGTCGCAATCTGCACTGATGTTTTGATCGTAAAGTTGATGGCAAACCCTAAATTCATATGAATCCAAATCACCTTCCCAATTATTAAAACTCTAAAAATAAAATTCTCATCCATAGATGAGAATCAAAATCCTAGAAAATTGGGAAAAACCCATATAATTGGGATAAACTCTCACAAGCAAATGGAGATAACAAAGCAAATTACCTAAATTAAATTAAGAAAAAGGGTCAGAAATAGTTTAATTTTCGAAGAAATTAGACTATTTCCTGCCTCAACGGCCAAAAAACTTGAAACCCTAAATAAAAAGAAAGGAAAGAAAAGCAAATTATTGCTTTGCCAAGCTAATTGCATTTTTTTAGCTTCAATAGTCAAGCTAGATAGTAGCTAGAAATTATTTAAAATTACTAGCACATCCCTATTTATAACCATTGAAGTTACTCTAATATATTGAGGGAGTATTGCAGTTTCAAGTTAATAAAGTGTTGTGGTTTTTGTAAAAAAAAAAAAATCAACGTTATGAAGGCCTTCACAAAAATCACGTTCTTTTTGGAGATTACATTGACGTGTTAATTTAGCGCTATTTTCGTTCATAATATATTAACACTTTATCATGTAAAACTTATAATTTTATTATTCTAATTTTACATTGGTAAATAATTAGGAAAATGCTATACATGGGCTATGAATAAGAAGCTAAAAGAGGAGAGTATTAGTGTGATATATTCATTATTAATTACACTGATTTGCGCGTGATTTTGTCATACATTCCGAAACTAATACTTGTATCAAATAAGGAAAGATATTTAATGCTTATTTGTAGCCCTACATATATATAGCATTACCCAAATAATTACTACCTCCGTTTTTATTTAGTTGATACTATTCTATTATTACGCTTGCCAACGCATTATTTTAACGATTAATATCTCTAACTCTTGACATTGTAAAATTATAAAAAGTGGATATTAATAAAACATACACGGAGACGATTCGACCAAGATTCCACTTGACTATATTTTATCGTAGTTATAAATCACAAAAACTAGTCAAAGTGTCGTTTGTAAATAGTGTAAAAGTCAAACGGTTTTAACTAAAAAAACACACTACTAGAAATAGGCCAAATTCCGACGGACCATTTCCGACGGATATGTTTTTCCGTCGGAAATCCAGTAAATTCCGATGGAATTTTATTCTGTCGGACATTTACGACAGATTTCCTACGGAATAAAAATCCGCCGGAATTTATGGGCTTTCCGACGGAATATTCCGTTGAAAATATAATGTTTCGACGGAAATAAAATCCGTCGGAAATATCCTACGGATTATTCCGTCGAACATTAAATTTTCGGCGGAAATAAATTCCGTCGGAAATTTCCGACAGAATATTCCGTCGGAAAATAATTAAATAAAAAAAAACTAACCCTAAAAAAAGGTTCCCCACCCCCTTTTATTTCTCTTTTCTCTCTCCTCTCCTCTTCTCTCCGCCTCCAGCTCTTCTCCTCTCTCTCCTCTCTTTCTCTCTCCTCATTTCTCTTTTCCTTTCTCTTCTCCTCTCACCTCTTCTCCTTTCACGTTCTCCTTCTCCCTCATCTTCTCCTCTTTGGTTCTTCCTCTCTTCTCCCCTTTCACTTTCATAGCCACCAACACTGCCGAACACCCTCAACGCAACACCAAGTACGAACACCTTCAACGACGCCGCCAACACTAAATTCACCAACAACGGCCTTTTTTTTTATTGATGTCAACACCAAGTTCACCAACACCAAGTAGATCTAGCCTTTTTTTCATTTTAAATTCCGATTTTAGTTAATTATTGATGTCATTGTAATGTTAATGTATAATTTTTGTTAAATTTATGTATATTTATATATTTCTTTGAATTGATTTGGGTAATTTTTGTTGATTTTTTATGATAATTTTCGGTTATTTTTTTTGGAATTGATTTGTGGTGTTTTGGTTTGGTGTGGGCGGGGTTTTGGGTTTGGTGTGGGTGGGGTATGTGTTAGGGTGGTTTCGGTTTTGTTTGGGTGGGGTGTTGGTGGTGTTTTGGTTGCGATTTGGTTGTGTACGGTAGTGGGTTTGGGTGTGTGTTGGTGGTGGTGTGTGAAGGTGGGATAGGTGGTGGTGTACGGTGGTGGGCTAGTGGGTTTGGGTGTGGGTTGGTGGTGGTGTGTGGGTGGTTTCAGTGGTGTTGCGTGGTTGGGGCTGGTAGGGGTGGTGCGTGAGGGTGGTTGGGGGCTGGTAGGGGGCAAGGGCAGGGGCAGGGGGCAGGGGGTGGGCGGGTGGTGGTGTGGGGGGGTAGGGGGCAGGGGGTGGGGTAGTCAGGGGCAGGGGGTGGGCTGGTGGTGTGTGGGGATTTAGGCTGGTGGCGCTGGGTGTGGGTGGGGTGGAGCTGGTCTTTTTTTTTATTGACTTTTCCGACGGAGTTTTCCGTCGGAATATACCTTTTCCGACGGAATTTTCCGTCGGAATATACCTTTTCCGACGGAAAATTCCGTCGGAAACCTACCCTCCTCCGACGGAAATTTGCAACGGAATTTCAAATAAAGTCAAAAACAGCGCCGACAGAATTAGATCTGTCAGAAAATCCGTCGGAAGAACGCCTTCCGACGGAATTCCACCGGTAAAGGTCGAATTTCCGACAAAGGCTGTTACGACAGACTAACTCCGACGGAATTCCATCGGAAAGCCTGATTCCGACGGAATTTCCTATGTTTCCGACGGAATTTTTCCGTCGGAATCCAACTGTTTTCTTGTAGTGACAGAGGAAGTATAAATTTTATATTTTTAAACTAAAAAAACTTATATTTAGGGAGCCAAGCATATCTAATTGTGTCAAGCATATTTTAATTACTTGGGGTTTTTGCAGAAATTAAAATATTAAATCAATCATGCATAATGTGGTGCTTTTTGACTAATAACTTTCAACCACTACAATTGATTGCTCAAAAACTAGGTTAGGATGAAAGCGTAATATTTTTGTACCAAAAACCCTTAATTAATATATTATATAGATATAAACAAATAATAATGACACAAACAAATAATGAAGTAATAAAACAATATTGTTCCAATAATATATCAAAGTTTGTCATTTAACAACCAATAATACTGCATGTTATAAGCTAAGCAAAGAAAATGCAAGGTTCACTCAAAAACTAATCAGAGTTTCACAACTACAAAACCTGGACGAGTAGCAAGAGGAGCCCTGGAAGCGTGTTGTTGTGCACCTTCTGACCCAAACTTGAACGTAAGGATTATTATTAACGCTTAAAAAAAATTATTCCAGTTTTTTCCATTTAATGATTCAAAACATAACAGTCGAGGCTATCCAACTTGGTGAAATTTAGCAAGATTACGGTCCGATTACAGTTTAGTTGTATTATATCTACATCCACGTTTTTACCAATGTAGTCTAGATTAACTCTGTATCTACTTTTGGACATTGGCAATCGATGCTTATCCTTATCTAAATCAGAGTCAGTCAACTCCCCTTGATCACATATTTGATAGTGAACTGCTAAACAACGCTCCCATTTTACAAGGCATCGCTCCCATTTTGACATGGAAAGACGATATTGTTCTTTGTGTAAGTTGGACTATATAATGGTCCATTATGAGACATATGGGCAATTTAATATTATTCCGACCCCTCCGCTTAGTACCACGTGGTTAAAAAAATTCCCGAGCCCACCACATCCGACCCCACGACATCCAACCCCACCACATTCAATCCACCACCAAAAATCCAATTTTGTTTTTTAAAAAAAGTTTATTAAGCTTCAGCGACGGGTTTAGTACGATGGACGATGACAGTGATCGTACACCGGAGGCATCGTCGGAGGATTCCGTAAGTCCTCGTATTTTTTTATATATAAATGAAAACATCCACCTAAAATATCCGGACCCACCTTGGTGGATCCGCTTAAAATTTCTGGATCCACCAAGGTAGATCCGAAAATTTAAGGCGGATGTCTTTTTTTTTTTTTTTTTTTTTTTTTGTTTTGTGTATTGTATTGATTAATTAATAGTATTGTATTGATTAATTAATCAATTTTTTTTTTAAAACCAATAAATCAAATTTATTAATGTAATCTTTGTATTATTATTATAATTTTTATTGTGATTATTATTATTTTTGTGATAATTTATTAGTTAATATTAGTTAATGTTCGTTTGTTTATATTTGCTTATTGTTGGTTTTAAATATATTATTGTGATCAACCTTATTATTTAACTTGTGATTAGTGATATTTAGTATTATTATTGTTTTATAAATATTGTTATTAATATTATAATAAAAAAATATTGGAGAATTTTGTGTGTTTTCTTTTATTTTTATAGGATTTGGAGTCTGAAAATGGCGGTGATGGTGTGAATTTTGTCACGGACACGTTATTTCCAACGTTTGATGATGCAGTTAAATGGGCGGATGCTGTTTCCATATATCTGGGATTTATTTTGGTTAAATCATCTTACAACAAAACTAGAGATGGTTGGCCGTATCGATATTTGAAATGTGATCGGGGACGGAAGAGCAAGCCGAGAGACTTTGAGAACGCAATACAAAAGGACACAAAAACCAAAGCTAATGCTTGTCCTTTCTACATCAAGATATATTATGAATTCATCACAAACAGTTGGAAGATTCGTGCAAAAAATGATGAAACTGGGACCCATAGTCATCCAATGATTGTGTATCAGGAGGGTCATTGTAAAATTACTGGCTTGAGCCCGGATGCAAAAAAGGTTGTGCGTGACCTGACAAAGTCCAAGATTGCACCGCGTAACATCATGGCAACTATTTCAGAGCAATAACCTGATGATCATCCAAACATCAGACACATTTACAATTATCGGAATGACTTGAGAACGGAGATGTCTGAAGGCAGAGGAGTTGTTCAACAATTTCTTCATTTGGCGAGACAGAGTCAGTATATTTACTGGGTCATGGCCGATGACCTCGGCGTTCTACGACATGCATTTATGGTGCACCCAATCACGGTAAACATACTACGCACATACCCACATGTAATCGGTATGGATTCGACATACAAGACCAACCGATACGGGATGTCGTTCTTTGAGATAGTAGGTGTAACACCGACAAATCAGAATTTCCTCGTTGGTTATGTGTTCATGTGCAACGAGTGCACGACAAGCTATCGGTGGGTGTTGCAAAGATTAAAGGAGTTGATTGGGTATGATAAAGAACCATCGATATTTTTGTCAGATCGTGAACTTGGCCTCTGTGCGGCATTGAGAGAAGTGTTTCCAGGGACGTTGCATTTACTTTGTCGATGGCACATTAACAAAGATGTGGAGGCTAGGGTGACTGATATGTTCAAAAATAAGAAGATCGGTGCGAGTTTTAAAAATGGCAAATGGAAACGTATTATGGATGCTACAACCGAGGCGGATTATTATGTTGTTGTAGATACAATGAAAGCTAGGTGGGCAAGTTATCCGACAGTGATAACTTACGTTGAAAACACATGACTTTGTCATAAAATCAAAATTTGTGACATTTTGGACGAACCAAGTTCTTCACTTTGGTAACACGAGTAGTTGTAGTGTTGAGAGCCAACATTCGGCAGTGAAGACGTGGTTTGAATCATCGACAGGTTCGTTGTTATAATGTTGTAGTTGTTGTCTTTACTTCGTTTTAGTAATTTTAATTAAAAATCATAATGTTTTTTTTTATAATCTGAATCAACGGCAGGTTCTTTGGATACCTTATGGGTCCGAGTACATTGCCATATTGGTAATTAGATCATTGCAATTCGTAATGGTTTGGGGGCATCAAGATCGAAAATTGGTGAGAAGTACAGACAATTTCCACTATCACGTATAAATGGCAAAGTGTCTCAATATTGTTTGAAAATTCTCGATGATGAGACAAGAAGGATGAGGGAGTTGAGTTACCAAGTGTATGAGAGTTGTGGATGTGCAATGCGTGTGACCCATGGTTTACCATGTGCTTGCCAGATACATGATTTGCTAGTTGCATATACATGATTCGCTTGTATATCAGGAAAATTCATCCATTCTGGAAGACCTTGGTTATTGGTGATGGTGTTGATATACATGTGTTCATTAACGATTCAACCGAGGAAGCTGAACATTTTCATTCCCTGGTTGATGAGGTCATTGGTAGTGATCCTGCTATACTTCGAAATGTATCTCACATCATTGAAGAGGAGCTGCATCCGGATCATACAAACCTTGAAGAACCACATGTAAACCACAATGTTCGAGGTCGACGAAGGAACAATGATACCAGGCGTGATCCTTGTTATTTCGAACATGTAAACCATCGAAACACTCAACGTGGTACACAATAAACAAGTACGACCTCAGGTAAGTCATGAAATTACACGTATTTGCACTTGTGAATTACACGTATTTCATCTTGTAGCGTACTAGTAAATGACCATTAATTTTGTGCAGAAGATCAATGTGACATCAGTCAATGCAGGTATTTGCACTTGCTTCCAGGACCGATGTTGCCTTACATCAGGGCATGGAAGGATGTCATTGGTGATGGAAACTGTGGCTTTCGTTGTGTGGCTGACTTCTTCTTTGGTGATCAAGCGCAATGGTTTACCGCTCGGGAAACAATAGCAAACGAGGTCGCCGCTCATCCAATGTTGTACGAAAGGATTTACAGGATTGGAAGGGTTTGGATGAATGTAGAACGTATTCGATGGGATGGAGGGACGGTTGATATGTGGCATTGGATGGTAGCAATTCAAGATATATTTCCTATTGCTACTTGGTTAAACAGGGTTTGGATGAATATAGAACGTATTCGATGGGATGGTGGGGCGGTTGATATGTGGCATTGGATGGTAGCAATTCAAGATTTGTCTCGGTATAGGCAGTGTACCAACCTGCTACTACCCATGCATCACGGTGTTACCGTTGCGGGCACGAAGCACGGTCTGGGCACCCGCTTGAGAGTTCGTGATCGCTACAATTGGTGGGTCACATTTCATCGGTCTTGATCTTGCACAAGATTCACCTTTTCCCCAATTGCCAGTTGGTGGACCGAGCACCACGAGCCAAGTGTTGATGGATGGGATCAGCAATATGAAATTAGAAGGAACATCTGGGATGCATTAATGAGGTAGTGAACTTATTTATGTACTTTCACTAAGGTTGAACAGTTGTAGCTATGTAATATAGATTAATAAAAGTAATTAAACTAAGTTCCAACAAAACCAAATATAAAAGTGTCCAATTCTTACATTACATGCCGAATACAAAGTAATATAAAATAATGAAGACAAGTAATAAAAATGCAACCACGAATACGAATAAAGAGTAATCTACAACCCCATCATCGCCTTCCAATCAACTATCAGCTGCTAAATCATTGTCCTTAATTCACGCGACATGTTGGGATACTCATCCAGTGCTCTTTGGTGAATCTCCATGGACCGACTCATCCACTGCAAATAAGAAAATAACTTATTATAGAAATTACAATTACTGGAAGTCGGATTAATAGTATAATAAAAAACAACTACTTACATAATCCGTGTTAGTCCTCTTAGGTAGACTGCTACTCCCAACTGATGAACCCCTAGGAGATACACGAGAGTGAGAAAATCTATACAGCCACTTCATGTAACCAAAAGCGACCGTAGGAGCTCGACGACGAAGTCTGGTGTGGGTACCTAAAACTACACTGAAAGACGAACCAGGGACAAACTAGTCCACATCACAGATGTCATCTCGGTCGGAAATTCTACACGATACATCTTCAAGTTGGTCGGTCTCTTGGCCTTCTCAGGCCTGATAATGTTCCTTGGAATGTCTTACACGAACCCAAGTTGTCAAACCACTCGATCAGGCATGTATGGCTCAATGATGCTACGGTATTGGATGCAGCCAATAAATAAAGTGCGCGGCATTTGTCGTGCAGGATCAACTCCGTATAGGAGCCGGTTAACCTCACATTCAGTCAGCTCATCCGGTCTAGCACGAAAAGCTAAGAGGCGCTCCATGCTCTTATTAAAGTATCCCGATCCAACATCCCAAGCAGACGCACGAGGGATATTAAGCTCCCTCGTCAAGGTACCCTGTTGGGGCTGAAAGCACGGAAAGTACTTGTAAATCCACGCTTGCAGAAGCGTGAGACAACCAACGATCGAATCAGCATATTTTTGTGATGCCGTACCCAACTGCCGATATAGGTAGGCTAGAGTAGCTGAACCCCAAGAGTACTCATAAATCGGAACACCTTCAACAACAAGCTCGTGGAGGAAGGAAGGATGAGTGCGGTTACCACTCTTGTCTAAAAACAGTGATCCTCCTAGTACTAACCACATGTATGCAATATATGGACACTAAAGGGCCTCAGGGCCTCCAAAGTCGTACCAAAAATCCTCTCAGTCAGCACCCCACTACCCTGCCAAATGGTTTTAGTACCGCACTTCTCATTCAACTCTTCCGCAGTCATATCCATGGTAACCGAGCACGCGTCCCGTATGGCGTCCGTGCTAGGAATAGTGGAAACCATGGAAACATCAACACGAAGCCCAAGAATATGGTACACAACGTGCAACATGATCGCGATCTCTCCAAATGGCATATGAAATGTGTTCGTATATGGCTGCCATCTCTCAACAAAAGCAGAAATCAGCGGCTAGTCGAGACGCTTAAATATAATCCCGGGTAATTTAGACAGGCCACTGCCATCAATCAATTCGAGGTGCTCTTGTGCAAGACGACCTTGCCAATTAACCAATTCAGAACACAACTTTGTCCTACTCAAACAGCGCAAAACATTTCGCTCCTTCCCGCCCCATATATATGATGCCACGTGACCACCAAAACTAGGGATAACAGTCCCATCCTCAGGACCACCTAGCATTGGCTGTTGCACTAACCATGTCTCTGATGAGCTGGTAGTAGGTTGACTCGCTTGACTACTAACAAGTCTCCCATGCTGACCCCTATATACCGTATGATAATCCTAAAGGTTTGACTCTTCATCTTGATCATCATGACTTGCCCGCTCTTCGTCCTCATCGTCAGATGTAGGCAGTCCACTCGACGAGTAAATGGGGCGGCTCCCCTGTGACTGATGCTCTCCTGAACAACTACTAGGAGACCCATATTGCTGCTCATGACGAAGTAGTGCCCCCATAATTACTACGACATGACTCCCTCCTAACAAACGCATTCAAACGTCGTGATATTGCATGACGAGCACCCGAACCCTCAATGTACATTAAATAAGTACAAAATCAAATATCAGTAATAATTACAAATATAACTATTTGATTAAAGTTGAACAACAAATATTAATATTCAAAAAAAAATAATTTCAGAACAACACCATCACCAACAACATTAATAATAATAATAATAATAATAATAATAATAATAATAATAATAATAATAATAATAATAATAATAACAATAACAATAATAACAATATTAATAACAATAATAATAATTATTATTATAAACCACATATTTCGTTCGCAACATACTAATATCAACAACAACACAACAACACAACAACAACAACAACAATAATAATAATAATAATAACATTACTAGTAATAATAATATTAATCATTTTTTTTTAATTTAATCACGAAAAAAAAGTAGGACTTCCGCCTAAGATTTTCGGATGAACCAAGGAGGATCCGGAAATTTCAGACGGATCCACCTCGGACATCCGGAATTTTTAAGCGGATGGATAGATGCGCCTAAAATATCCGGATGAACCAAGGAGGATCCGGAAATTTCAGGTTGATTCTCCTCGAACATCCGGAAATTTCAGGCGGATGTGTAGATCC